TTTTGTAGGTATTCAACCATTGATATTTAGTCATTGTTAGATATATCATTAAATAAGCTTTCCAACGCTTCTGACCATGCGCAAATCAGTGTTACAGTTCTCAAGCTATGGATGAAATAGTACCAAATTATTCTGTTTTCTATCAGTCTCGCCCCAAGCTCGTCAGGAGAGCTAGAGGCGACCCTGAAACGTGGAAATGCATCCAGAAGCGTGAAAAATGTTGTTTTAAGCGTTGGACGAGACTTTTGAGCGTCGGGCGAGACGATCTGGACAGAAACACATTTTAAGGGTAAAAACACACATTTTTTAAGTATGGTGTGATACGGTGGCAGAACCAACTGTTTATACTAGTTTTGCATTTTGTGTTCACAAATTTTGCGGTAAGCGAGAGTCGCCACCGACTTTTCTTTTATCCAAATTAAGGAAAGGGTGAACAGAATATAAAAATACCTTTTCGATAATTTTCTGAGTAAAGGGGGTAGATTATGGAAAGGGAAGGTGTTAGCATCCTTTCCATCCATAGTTATCTACGTGCTCTTAGATGCTTAGCTCATTTTTTAAATACCTTGTGCTTTGTGTTTTGAAAAAGTAGTTTGAAAATGCCTTAATGCGGCGATTCGCTTTATGATAACTCTTGTATCAGTCCTCAAGAGTGTTGATAAAACGAATGTTTTTTGAAAGTGTTTTTTTGAAATGTTTTTGTGTAAGTGTAAAAGTTTGTTTTTAGCAAGCATTTAATAGCTATCTACTTGTACTCGAAAAGGTTTGTTCTTTTCCTCTTATCATTTAGACAGTGTTATCCTACTATTAGTGAGTAGGTAGCCCTATCATTGGATGTTTGAGGGACATTCGAAGGGACGAAAATTCATAAAGGAAACATATAGAGACGCTTTAGCAATTTTGTTTAAGGGACGAGATCATTTACCGAAAGGCAACACTGTAGGGTCATCAAGGGACTATGATCTTTTGATTTACGGGTCTTTGCTAAAGCATCCTCATTCTCGAGGGACATGACTGTTTTACTTTCTGAAAGGCAACCAAAGTGGGCGTACCTTAGAGGTGTATATGTGCAAGGTGTGTTATGTTCACTTATTTTAGTCTTGAGTTAGGTTTGCTAGTGTTTTGATTTTAATCTTTGCCATACAATCCTATTAGTCATGCATCTAGCAATTAATATAAAAGCAGTAGAAAATGCGGAAAATAAGTGTCATACGCTATTACAACCAAATTGAAAGGCAAGAAAATGTAAAAACAAGAACAAAATAAAGAGGGGAAGTGAGTCCTTCGATCCAGGTAGTAGACTCCTACGATTTACCCTTCTTTTGCTTTCTTTCGATTGAGCTTGGGAGTTGGCGTGAGCAACCTTCGATTTCACCCTTTCCTGCTTCTTTCAATTGAGCTTGGGAGTTGGTATAGGCAACCTTCGATTGCACCCTTTCCTGCTTCTTTCGGTTGAACTTAGGAGTTGGTGTGAGCAACCTTCGATTGCAATCTGCTCTTCTTCTTTCGATTAGACTATGAAGCAATATGGACTTGTAGAGCAGCATGAGTGTATATCCTTTGTTCACACCCTTTTTGTCTTTCATTTGAGTCTGTACAGGTTAGTTCCAACATATATTTGGACAAGAAAAGAAAACAAACAAAAAGGACAGAAACGAAGAATATAACTAAAAGGCTATTTACATGTTATGCTAAAACGAAAAATAAGTGAAAGGCTATTTACATGTTATGCTGAAACGAAAAACAAGTGAAAGGCTATTTACATGTTATGCTGAAATGAGAGATGCAAGGTCAAGAGGACTTACGTTGCTTGAAATTGGAACTTGTGTATGGACTGGAGTTGTTGGATGCTCTTGGATTCGAAAGGAGATAGGCAAGTGTGGTGTGATCTTGTTGAATTTTGAGAATTTTTTATATGCTTCTCTTAGGTTGTGTATGCGTGTAAGGCAATATATGTGTAGTTCCTAGGCCTCTATCTCTAGTCTCCTGGCGAATGTATCTATTCTCCTGACGAATGTATATTTTGTGTATGTGTTTGGCTTTGTATTTATAGAGATGTGAGGGTGCATGGAAATGGCAAGGGACATCCATTAATTGGGCTTTGAATGTCATGAGACAAGAATCCAACATATTGAAAGTTGTCCATATTTGGATAATTCTTGCCATTTTTAAACCTTGAGTGAACCTGGACACGTTTGACTCTTTCGAATACCTTCCAGCCTTGCTCTTCGATTGGCCGAGTTACCTCCTTCTAATGGCTCTAGTTTTGTTCTTATAGCTCCTTCTATTGAGTTCATCCTCATCAATTCAAATTTCTCAAATCTTTGATGACTCTGAATTCCAATTGTTCAGAGTTTTCCCTTGTGATAGTTTCTCCAACTAATTCACCATCTGCATCAATTCGAATTTCCCAGAATTCTCTTTGTCAGAGCATTGTTATTTTTGATGATTCTGAATTCCAATTCGAACCTGTTCAGAGTTTCCCTTATAAGGGTTTTTTTTCGAAAACCCCTCAGATCTTTACTTTTCGATTGACTCTGGATCTTGATTTGAATTATACAAGGCCTCAACATCCTGGCTTCTTCAATCATCCCCTAAGTTTGCTCTCTCCAATTTCTCTGACACTACTCAACTAGCCCAATCGAAATACTTCATTCTGGCCAATCGAAGCTTCCTTTGGCAGGAATGTGCTTGTGCAGTGGGCTTGGGCTTGGCAGCATACAGGATTTTGGCCAGCAAGCATCTTGGACTAAGACTCATCACAAAGCAAACTTATTTTCAATAATCATGTGTCCTTCGAATGAACCAATGAATATTTCTTCGAAGAGACCACATGAATGCGCCTTCGAAGGGACTATCATGTGTGTCGAAGTGTGGAAAATTGTGCATCTTTTTATTCATTGAATCGAAACTGTTTCAAAGGGGACCATTGCCCAGTCGAAGTTGGCACAAAGGAAGTCAATGCCTTGTGGACGCTAGCATGAGGGAGGCCAAAGCAAGCATAAAATAGGCCATTCCCTAGTGAATCAAATCAGGCACAAAGGAGGTATTTGCCTTGTGGGTCGAAGGAAGTTTTCTGCCTAGTGATTTAAAGGCAAATCTGAAGAAGTCTTGGCCTTGTGTGCCTTGCAAACTGAACTTGATCAAAGGGGGCCCAACGCTTAATCGAAGTTGATGGATCAAAGCTTAATCGAAGGGTTTTAAATTCCCAATCGAAGCTTGTAAGACACATATTGCTCGAAGGGTCCCAGATGCCCAATTTAAGCTCTTTGTCCAGATGTCAATCGAATGACATCTTGTTCATATGCCAATCGAAGACACTTTTGTTCATCTTTAAAAAAATTTATTTTCTTCCATCAAGTGTTTGTAATCATCTATTTAAGAGACAATCTTGGAGAACATGAGAGGGCAAATTTTGGGGTACAACAACTGCCCCTGTTCAATCTTCTTAAACTTGAACATTTAGATTGGCTTGTTTGCCTTTTGTGATCTGAAGGTGGAAGATGACTGGACACTAGAGTGCCCAGAAATTTGCACTCGATGATGTGATGGTTGACTTTGTAGGGAATAAGCTTAAAGATTCCATTTGAAGAAGATGATTGAGAATTGTCGGAGATGGGCTTAAAGATGACATCCATAGTAGGTAATTACTTCATAAGAGGTCCCTTTATGGGGAATTCCTGTTCCTGCTGTCTGAGGAGGAGTCCATTGGGGAATTTTGATATCTGTTGTTTTCATATTAACGAAAACTCTGTGGGGAATAGAGTCTAGGAACTTCAGTTGTCCATGGCTCTACTGAGGAGTTATCTCTGGACTGGAGAGATGAAAGTTTGTTATTTTTTTGTTGAACTCTAGGCTTCACAGTAACTTGCTGGGGAGGATGAAGTTAACTGTTGTCTGTAAATGTGTTAGAAATAGCCTGTATAGGGCTGTTTCAGGATGAGTCCATGTTAGACCGTCGCCCCGTCTTGTTTCGAGAATTGATCCATAATCAGCTGTTTCACAGATAGTTGTCTTGTCTGGTTTCAGGTATTAATCTGGAACTTGCTTTTTTCGATTGTTGAGATAGTTGTCCTGGCTTGTTTCAGGTATTAATCTCTGACTTTAGAAAGAAAGATAGTTTTCCTGGCTTGTTACATGTATTAATCTTCAATCTGCTCATGTAGATAGTTTTCCTGGCTAGTTACAAGTATTAATCTACAATTGTTCGTCCACAGATAATTGTCCTGACTTGTTACAGGTATTAATCTGGAACTTGTTTTTGTCGGTCGTTGAGATAGTTATCCTGACTGGTTTCAGGTATTAATCTCTGACCTGAGAAAGAAAGATAGTTTTTCTGGCTTGTTACAGGTATTAATCTTCAATCTGCTCATGTAGATAGTTTTTCTGGTTGTTATAGGATATGCTACGAAAGCACTTTTTGATGTAAAAGCATTGTTATAGATGACCTTTAGAAAGCGCTTTTAAAAGCGCTTTCGTAGGTAGTTTTATAATAAATATCAAAACACAATTCGTATCACTTTTCTATTCTCAGTCAGATTTTCTTCACGAAAAAACCCTAAACCAGAGCTTCTACAGCGGTCAACGGTGCTCCACTTCTCCGGCCAACTGCAATTCATATCAAGTTTCATTTTTTTCCTCATCTCGTATGTGTTTGTCTAGTTTTCATGTGCTTTTTGTTTGGTTAACAATTTCATGTCATCCAATCCACACGTTAAGTATATACAACTTAATATAATTTGACTAAAGTGAACGTTTATCCAATCCTTCACCATAAAAAACGTCATCAGGAGACGTGGGACGATTTTTATTATAATCAATTCAAAAAAGCAAGTGGCCATTTCTTCTAAGAAATGATGATGAACGTGTTTGGCTAGACCATTAAATGACAATGTTAGCAGAGTCTCATTTTTTATCATTCTTTACATTTCAAGATAATCTATTTATTCATCCATCCAATTCCCGTCTCTATTCATATCAACCCTCAAAAAAATCGATCTATGATTACTTCTGAATCTTCGAACAACATGCAGCTACAATTGCAAGGTACTTATTTTGGTTTACGCATTTACACAAACACGTTGTCGTCAGTTTATATTTTGTTAATTTTTGTGATTTGATTCTCATATGGTACTGCTAGTAGTGTTAATGTGATGAGCAACCTCGCACATGTCATGGCAGTCTCCATCGTCGGATTAATCTGTGATAATTTAGTGATGGTTGGCCAGCAGAAGATTGTTCCTTACTTACATCAAACGGAGTCAGGCCGTGTTGCCAAGCTTGAGATTTTCTCTCACTATGTTGGTAACTTCTTTACCACTTTACTTTTACTTCTCCAGTTTAGTTTGGGCGTGAATTTGATGATGAATTTATGTTATTATCGAATTGATTATGGCTACTTGTACATTTGTCTATGCAGCTAGGCAAATGGGATTTGTAGATGCCGGCGAGGTTCCAGAGTTGTGCAGATTGGCACAGGACTACTTAAGAAACACGGAAGGGTGTAAAGAAAATATATATCAATATCTAGCCAATGGGGACAACGCTAATGCACTATATGCAAAATTGATTGAAGAATTTGAAAGATGCATCCTCAGTTATTTTGCTTTTCATTGGAACCGAGCTTCATTTATCATTACCCAGGTACATAATTCTTTAATAAAAAAACCAATTACACATGTTTTCAGTCATATCTCACTATACTTTTGGTAAAAAAAATTCACCTCACTATTATAACACTTTGTTATGACGATTTCTAAAATATCTCTACAGATATTTATGAGATGGTGATATTTAATTAGATGTAAGTGTAACTTCTTAATTAAGAAAGAATTTTATAGTTTGGGAAATATATTAACTATTAAGTTGATACATGCTTTTGTTTATTTGACATAGATAATTGTATGTTAATATATTGATGTTTTAATAGTCTTAATCATAGGTATTAAGTTCTCAGTCCCAACCCAAAATAAATCTCAAAAATATTCTTTTGGAAGCCACAAGGTAAATTTATATCTAATTTTGAGTTTAATTTTGGTGCAATGTTTTTTTTTTTAATAACAAACAGAGCCTAAGACCGAATTTTAATGTAATGTTAGTGTGTGAATATTTTTACACGGAAAATCAATTATAGTAAGCCATATCCGGGATTTTTAAGTAATTATAATCCATGCCAAACAAAGTTTGATCTATTGATTATTAGATTAATAGTGTAAATTTCTGTTACACGTGCATACCAATTAATAATCCACTCACAATTTTGCTTTAAAATAACCTTTCAAAAATATGGACTAATTTAAATGTCTTATGCTATGTTTATAGGGAACATAGGTTTGAGAGAATAACAAAGAAACTAAAGGTGGCCAGAGTGTTCTCTACATTGGTTGAAGAGATTAAAGCAATAAAGGGCGACTCGCAAAGTTGTGATGACAAGGTCTCCATTGTCCAGAGTGAGAGGAGTCCAGTGTTGCTGCTTATGGGTGGAGGCATGGGATCTGGAAAAAGCATTGTTCTTAAAGACATTCTTAGAGAGTAAGTATCACCTTAACTCTACTTCTTCCATATATTAATTAGATCATTGTTCAATTCCAATTGTTGAAAATGTTATGAACCATGTGTATCTAAAATAAGAAGAAAAAAAAACGATCTTATGAGTTATGACATGTGTTAAATTTTGTCACCCTTCACCTTTTTTCCTTGTTTTGCCCCTAATTAAATGGTTTTGGCAGATCATTTTGGTCAGAAGCTGCATCCAATGTTGTGGTTGTTGAAGCAGATGCTTTTAAGGAGAGTGATGTCATTTATAGAGCTCTTAACTCTAAGGGCCACCATGATGAAATGCTTCAAAGTGCTGAACTGGTATGCTTCTATTGTCCGAAAATTTCATGTTACTATTTTCAGAGTATTTCCTAATTAGCTTGTCATCAAAATCTAAACAGGTGCATCAGACTTCAACTGATGCTGCATCATCTCTACTAGTGACAGCTTTAAATAAAGGGCGAGATGTGATCATGGATAGTACCTTAGCATGGGAACCTTTCCTAGAGCAAACTATTGCTATGGCAAGAAATGTTCACAAAAAGCGTTGTCTAAGGTAAATATATGACAGCGCTTTTCTAGGCAAAAGCGCTGCTAAAAGACCACCTATGAAAGCGCTTTTCCAAAAAAAAGCGTTGCTAAAAGTCTACCTAAGACAGCGCTTTTCCAGAAAAAAGCGTTGCTAAAAGAAAACTTATGAGAGCGCTTTTCCAAAAAAAGCGTTGCCTTACGTAGACCTATGAAAGCGCTTCTTCATAAAAAAGCACTGTCAAAAGCCTACTTAAGAGAGTGCTTTTTAGAAAAAGTGTTGTATTAGGTAGACCTACGAAAGCGCTTTTCATTAAACAAAAAGCGCTGCTAAAACCTATAGCAGCGCCACCTACGAAAGCGCTTTTAAAGGCCAAAAAAAGCGCTTTCGTAAGTCTTTTTTGGCGTAGTGTCATATGCAAACAATGGTATTTTGAGAATGCAAAGCTTATTTCTGTCTTGAAGTTTGAAAATTCATTTTTTAGTAAAATAAACAAATTTTGTAAGAGTGTGATATCAACTCAGAATTTATAGCGAACTTTACATGAGTCAGGATACCTTTTGTAACAGTATGCTTTCGAACTAACCCATGCTTTCGATAGTACTTTTAAGGGTTATAATGTGGCCTGGTTCACGGTGTATGAAACAAAAGATAAAGGCTCAAATTTTATTTGTACCTAATCCGTTCTTCGTGATGTTCTTCAGTCATATGCTCAATTAATTGTGCGTTTAAATCTCGATTGAGTCTGACATCTTGTCCTTGATGTTCCGGTGATGATTCGGATAATGAAAGTTTATTTTGAAGAGGCAGTCATTTTTGTAATCTTCTTTTTGTTGAGGATTTGTAGTAACCTCTTTTTTTTGTTTTCGTTATCCCTACTTTTTCTTGAACTGGTTCTTTTGTGATTACAGTCAGCGGGATGCCCTAGTTTTTTTTCTTAAGTCTCCTTCATAGGTTTTGACTTAGCGGACTTTTATTTTGAGAGATAAATGATTGTCGGCTTTAATGATTATGCGGAACCATCACCATCTTCTGATTTGGAAGGATGTATTTAATGCCATTCGTTATGTATGAAGTGGAAGATTGCGACTGAATGCGCATCTGAATTAACTGAGAGAACTACCCTGCCCTAGGTTATGATTAAGGATTTTAATTTGTGTGAAAAGAAAAAATCCTACTTTTTAGGCTTAAAGGAGTTGACTAGAGATTATCTTCCTTATAACTCCACTGTTTGGGATTTGAAACAACGCATGCACATCGTCAGTGGGGTCTGTTCAAAAGCGTACTGTAGAGATCATGGTATTATTTTTGTCATCCTCCCTCTAAAGGCTTACAACTTCTAATCGAGAGTTGAACATCACAAAAAAGGAAGTAAGAAAGCAGTTTAAATATAATGAAAATGACATAATTCAAGACAAATATATGTAATGCATTAATGGGAAAACCAAAGATTGACATGACAATAATTGTTTGAACAAGCAAAGGAAATTACAATTGAAAAATCACAAATGAACTAGACGCTCTCAATGATTTGGCCTAGGAGTAGTGATCACGTGGTGAGTCTCTGGAGGGTTTAATTCAATCTCCTTGGCGTCAATCATATCCTGAATTTTGTTCTTCAGAGCCCAGCAGCCATTCGTATCATGTACATGACTATCAGAATAGTATGCAGACCTTTCGTTGGGGTAACTACCACACTTGAAGCATGCACTTTTATATATATATATATATATATATATATATATATATATATATATATATATATATATATATATATATATATATATATATATATATATATATATATATATATATATATACACACAAGGTTTTAAATAACGGCTGGAGTTGTGTTGCGGTCGCATAAAGACTTTTATGATTTCAGTCGATGTACGTGTTACGTTATTAATTACGAGGTGTTCTATTGTGAGCCACACTTTTAATGTTTTGTGGATTTGAAAATATGTTCAAATGTAACAGTTGCAGAAGGAATGTTAACATGGTCTGTCTCTGTGAGCGAGTTGGTTCGAGAAACGAGTGAATTGACTCTTCAGCGTATTTTGAATTTAAAAGATGTTACTACTACAAATAATTCATTATCCCTGGAATTTCTCTATTTAAGCATGTTAATCCTGCAACACCGACCAATTGTTGTTCTTCGATTAAGCATATATGTGTCACCATATTTGTGTAGGTTGATACTTAAGATAGATATAATATGTCACTGTATTCGTGTACAAGCAAGGATATAAACAGGTTGACATTGTTAAACAAGATCGTGTACTTAGTCTGTTGTATTACTATTATCAATTGATTTAACAAATTAATAAGTACTATGATTTGAAAAACCATAAAGGCCTTTTTGTTTTATTTAGATTAAATATCATATATGGAGTATTTGGAGTTAGAAAGCCAAAACAAAACATACATACAACGGGGTGAAACTTGCAAATCCAAATAACAAGATGAACTTTCTTTTTCCTTGTAAATCTATAAACATGACAAAATATCCAAATAACAAGATGAACTTTCTTTTCTTTGTAAATCCACATCATCAAGTTCAATTCTTTTATCAAAAACTCTTTTAGCTTCACTCAAAAGTCCACTATTAGCATACTTCATCATTTTCCTAATTCATTGCTTAAATATAATTGACTTCAATATTGTGATTCATTGCTTAAACAAAAGTGAATGTATTGTGACACATGGTCAGTATTTTGTTTATGGTTGCATAAGTCATTAAATAAAGTATTATTAAAATTAATTTTATTAAATTCATGAAACTGTTTTTTTAATTATTATAGAATAAAAAGAATGATTTTAATGGGAGAAAAACCATTACTTTTAAGAATTTATTTAAATTTATCATAATGCTATTCATTTGTCATTGATAATATAATAAAATATATGATACAAATATGTTTATATATGGAGAAAATTTATATACTTTATATTGGACTTTATTTTTATATGAGTAAGATTGTATTGGTGATCCAAATACTTTTAAAGTGTATTGTTAAAATAAAATTAACCTTTGCATGAGGGGAATTATATTGTTGAAAATATTTGTATATATGAAAAAATTATATTTATGATCCAAATACTTTTAAGTCTATTATATGGAGATTCTACCAAACGCAATTTCCTTTTATTTTAGTCTAATGTGGCAGACTTTTAATTGTTTGCATAACTTCCAGTCTTCTTGATGTTTGGTCGGAGTTTGCATAACTTGGCAGCATCAAACTAATAAATTACTTTTGCCATCAAATAGGTCCTTAATAAGACTCTTTAAGGTTTGCATTTCAAAAAATCATAACTATCCCCGAGTATTTCCAAAATAGATCTTGACTCGTGTTTGCAATGTGACATCTAATGAAGATTGAGAACAAACCTTTCAAAAAAATAAGCCTTCAAGAAAAATCAAAAGTTTAACAACACTAAATGCTTTAACAAATAAATAGTTCATTAAAGTCAAAAATGGAGATTGCAAAAATAAAATAAAAATGAAAGAACAGTCAATAATAAAATAGGTTGAAGGTAAAGAAACCGAAAATAAAAATGATGTTTTTGAAGAAAGGTATAGTTGATGTTGATGAAGATGAAGATCCACGGTTGGCGGAGAGGATAGGTACACGGCGTCACTTTGCGACACAGATTAAAGTAGTCTGATGAGAGAGAGTATTTTTAGGATGAACGATAGATATACCTCCAAGTGCGGCATAACAAAAGCCATGGAAGATTCTGAAACAGTATCCATCGGAGAGGCGACAAAAGGAGTGGAAAGGGAGATATTGCGGTTGAGGCGGGTGGTGAGGTCGACGGTATCAACAGCGAAATCGATATACTATGGAATTGGTGAAAGCAGTAGGTGTTCTTAGGGTTTGTGGAGAGAGAGAGAGAGAGAGAGAGAGAGAGAGAGAGAGAGAGAGAGAGAGAGAGAGAGAGAGAGAGAGAGAGAGAGAGAGAGAGAGAGAGAGAGAGAGAGAGAGAGAGAGAGAGAGAGAGAGAGATGAAATCAGACCAATGAGAGAATAAAAAATGGCGTTTTGCTAGTGACTGTAGCGGTAGAAATGCTCAAGACTAAGCCATTGGATTGACTAGACTTTATACAAATCAAAATAAAAATTGTCACTGCGCTTTATTGTTTCCAAAGGAATGGGAAAAGAGTGAATAACCCAAAAAGAGGGGGGAAAGATTCAAGGTAAGGGGGTTGGTTATGCAAAGGGAAGGTATTAGCACCCTAGACATCTACGGTACTCCGCAGGAGCCTCTTTGTAAAATCTGTATATTTTGGCTATAAGAAATGTTGTATATATAATGGATGGTGGAGGTGAGAAAAGAAATATTTTTTATGATTTTTGCACCCGCCGCGGTTGCGAACCTTTAGTGCCTACGTACCACCTTTCGTGCAATAGGGGATCAGGGTACACGTAGTTCCTCTTTTAAAAAAAAATTGAAACACAAATGTGTTGGTTAATTTTATGAGATAAAACATCATCGTCATTGTCCCTGTGGAAAACACGCCTACTATCCACAATCATTAGAAAGGAGAATTTGCATCATCTCAAAGTGGAGGATATGACTTGGATTTCAAAATCAACAATGCCTCACTCAACACCTAAGTGGAAATATCTCTATTCACTATATATTGTAGAAGTATAGTTGTTTGCGTCACTACAAGGATTGACAAGAGTTTAATCCTTTGAAAAAAGTTTAAAGTAAAAGCCAAAGTGGAAAAATGGTTTGAATGAGATTGATTGACTTTTAGTCTTCTCACAAAAAATGTCAAGGTATTATTAAATTGATTGAAGTTTATTTATGAAAATGTTTTGAAAATACATGGAAATAAGTCCAAGTTTATTATGAAAGTAGTTTAAGTTTCAAAACAAGAAGAGTTTTCAAAAGGAGGAAGAAGATTTTGAAATTAAAGAAGATGGGAGGAGAAGAAGAGACTATCCTAAAGTATAAGGTAAAAGCTAGGGATAAGAACCATCTAACCAACAAGAAGTCAATACTTGACATTATGAGCCA